CCCCAAAACCCCAAAACCCCAAAACCCCGTCAAGAAAAATTATACGAAATTATTGAATTAAAAAAAATGAGATTAATTAATCGGCAAAAAGTTAATAATTTAATACTTTGATTTAAACACAATGAGCTTACGATACTAAAAGGTTGACAGATGTCTTATTTCTGATAGATTCAAGTTATACGGCTTGATTGGATCAGGATCTTTTGCAAAAGTTTACTCCGCATATGATAGTATATTGAAATAAGATTGCGCATTAAAGATTGTAAAATAAAATTATTAACTTATTAGTTAGATGAGCGGTCTTAGCTGGATTGAGAAGTGGATATACTTACTAAATTATAATAAAATGAAGACATATTAGGTATGTTTGGCTATTAATAACAAATTTAGGATTTCCGAAGGTCTTAGACACTGGGCAATATAAAGGCAAGTATTATCTTGCAATGACACTGCTTGGAATGTCATTGAGTACTTTGTGCATTAAGTAAAGAACTGTTCTAACATAAAAAACAATAATCTAAATTGGAATTCAGCTAGTAAATTATTTCTTCATAAACTCCATTAGCTCTCAAGCATTCAGCATCTCCATAGCATCGGTTATGCACATTCTGATTTGAAACTAGAAAATATTGTTTTAAAGTCTTCTGATTTCTCCAATTTCGATTCCTCGATGATTTGCATAATTGACCTTGGTCACGCCAGTTTAGTTTCAAATTCTAACTAGGAAGGATTACGATAAGCTGAATGTTTTGAAGGGAATGTGAATTTTAGCACTCTGAATTAGATGGCTTTCAATAGTATTTATATTCAATAACCATATTGTTTTTAGAAGCAACCTACTAAGATGATATTATTTCAATTCTTTATCTTCTGTTGTTTTTGCAGCGAAGCTAACTACCTTGGATTTAACTATGTAAGAGGTACATTGATAGAAATATTAGTATTGAAACAGTAAAAGAATTGAAATAAAAATTCCACAAATAGATCCATCAATATTATTCAGCCAGTCAAACAGGCATTTTACGTCAAAGATCACTTTATGAGGAATTAATCTATTATATTGACTTAATGAAGCCTGATGAGGAGGTAAACTACACTTATATCCTTTCAAGAATGAAAAAAGAGTTTGATGGAACTAACCAAAAAATTGACTGGGTTATGGACTGGTCGCATTAGAATAAAATATGGACAGAGTAATACTTGAAAAATAAATAAATACTTGACAAATAGCTTGATCCAAATTATCACATCTAAAAATTTATTAGATAGCAGAGAACTACATCACAAATAGAATACTAAGAAAACTAAGTAAGAGATTAACCATTAGAAATCCACAAAGCCTCTAATATAAAAAGAAAAGTTATTATCGATTCAACTATTCGTAAATATAATAAGTCTAAACTAAAAAGGGAGATGTCAAAAACATAGGAAATTTAGGAAAATGACTTAGTTGTCTTAGTACCCAACGATAAACTAATAATGTAGCACACGGATTTTTAAATATGTGCGTCCCCTTATTTCCGATAGCAGCCCTAAAATCCCTCATATACTCCTTTAGATTAGCCTATTGACCTATCGCAATAAAACGAACTTTTGAGTAATAATCCAATCTCTTAAAATGTATTTAATAATGGATTCTCTTTCGCACAGGATCTCAAAGAGTTAAACTAGATACAGTTTTACTCTCTGGATGAAAATGATTTTCAATGTAATCTAGAAGAGGGCATATCGGAGTATTTGGAGATACAAAGAATTTTGTACAGTTTAGATTATAAAGAAAACAATCTAAAAATATTAAACTGAGGTAAAATATCACTTCCTAGCAAATATCTAACATTTTTCTTTAATAAATTTATGTATGATAAATAGAAGTTAAAAAAAGTATTAAATTAAGATCTCTATTTCATTATCATACTTTTTTACAATAATCTTACCTTGCGGGGTTTTGGGGTTTTGGGGAGATCGGAAGAGCAC